TGCTCTGCAGCGCCAGTCTCATCTTCAACACATGTTTAAGAGCCTCCAGGCCCCACACACGAGTTTCAACCATACCAAATTCAACATCTTCTCGACACTCTATCGGCAGGGCATCTATCGCTGCCCTGGCTTTCTCCTGTAACACTTGCAATCGATTTTGCAGCCTCCCTGGGCTAGTATACCTCTCCACACCTGGTTCGTCTCTCCAGATGTCTTCCATTCTTCCTCTTTTTCCTCCACCAAGCAACACCGGGGCCTGCTGGCCTAGGTCGCTCAGTTCTGCTTCAGGACATGTGTTGACACCTTCCAGGGTCCCGCATTTAGCAGGTCTGGGCAAGCCCAGCCGCTCCGTGCTCCGCAATGGCAGTGCCCCGGTTGGTGCAACTGTCCTGTCCCGTTGTGATGCATCATCACCAGCGCACCCTGGTGCATCATCACCTTGTCTATCTGTGTCACCTGCAACCACGTTCACCTGCGTGTCATGTAGAACGTTATCTCCATCATCTCCCTTCCCTCCAGCCACCGACATGTTGCGCCCCGGCTCACATGTACTAGAGAGGAGAGAGTCCACCCCCAAAGTGATGACATGACGAGGTGTATCCTGATCACTTGGATAAGGATTGTCCCAAGATGATCCACATGCAACGTACGGCTGCCAGCCTTGAGAAACAGCACAATCGCACATCTCAATGCCAGCCACTTGACTCCATCTATCAAATTCACAAACATGGCTTGCTCCCCTGCAAGGGCACATGTTGTCCCACGAAACCCAAACACTCAAACACTGGTGGTCGTGTGCTTGGAAACCCCACTGTTGCTTTGCTGCTCTGCCCAAGCTTCCTGAATGCATTGACTCCCAATCAAAATGCTCAGCAAGCTTGTTCTTTTCGAGCATCCAGGCGTCCTTCAAAGGCCAATCGAGGGGGTTACCCCGACGGTGGGGCCTCAGTCTTCTTGCGGCGTTTGAGCATGCTTTCAGCCAGCTGCCGCTCAAGATCTGACTTCTGAGTCTCAGTGTACAGAATGCCAACCTGGGCTAAAGCCTTCAAGACGTGATCATTCACATCCTCATCAACAACTTCTACCGGGCCAGGTGCTTCCTTAGTCTCCTCCTTCAGGATCTTGGCATAGGCCTCAGACTGTGCACTCAGCTGTTGCTGCTCTTTGTCAATCAGCTCTTGCACTACCTTCAGTTCATCCAGAAGGGTCCGGTACTGCTCCTTGGCATAGTCCACCTTCCTCTGAAGCCCAGCCTTCTTGTTTGACAGCTGACGGAGTTCTCCAACCGTCACCTTGAGCTGAGAGGTGACATCCTTCGGCTCTTGCTTCACTGGGGTCACCAGGTTCGTCACTGCATCTTTGACTTCTTTGGGAAGGTCTTCTAAATGCGCTTTGAGGAGCTCTTCTAAAGGCTGCAATTCTGGTGGTGGGGTGTAGTCAATCCCAACTGTCTGCAGCGCCTTCTTGACATCATCCGAGAGGCTTGCCCAGTTTTTCTTGAGCATGTCATCAACCGGGTGTTTCACTTGCCTGTCTTTGGGCCCTAACCCAGGCGGTGCATCAATCTTCCTTGCCTTCTCTCGGCGTGTCCTCTGTCTGAAAGGCCTGGGGGACACCCGTTGCTTCTGGCCAGCAGGCCATTGCTGTCCACAATGATCACAGCACCACCTCTGATCGTTCACACGATCAGCCCAGATCCAGCTTCCTTCACAGCCTCGGCACACAAGATATGCCCTTCGAGGCCGTACAGCTTTGAAGCCGTCCCAACTCTGCATCTCGTTGGTGAAGATCTGGTCAAGGTACTCAACAGTCTCGTATCACTAGCAATGGCAAGGCCACCAGTGAGGTACCTAGAGAAGTAAGTCACCGCAAAGATGAAGTGCCACTGCCGACGTACTTCTCCTTGTCTCCACCGGCTTGAGCCACCTAGACCCTTGAGCCCAAACTTGAGCCATTCTTTCTCTCTCTCTCTCTCTTTCTCTCTCTCTCTTTCTCTTTCTCTGTTTTTCTCTCTGCAGAGCCCGCTGTGACCGCGCTTTTTTGGAGCGTATTCCAGAGCGCGCTGTCCATAGAGCGCGCTGTCCATAGCACACGAGCTCGCGCGCGCTCGCCCTGCTCGTTCCAAGTGAGGGTCCCGAGGTTCCAAGTAAAGGTTCCGAGTGAAGGCTCCGAAGGTTCCGAGGTTGAGGTTCCGTATCAAGTGTCTAAAAAAGTTCCAAGTAAAGGTTCCAAGTGAATTGTTCCGGGTGAAGGTTTCGAGGTTCCAAGCACAGGTTCCGAGTCATGTGTCTCCGTCCCCTTAAGTCAGTCCATGCATTCTCCAGCCCACAAAGTATCCCCGTCAGCTTTCACAATTCTCCAAAAGTTCGTGCTAACCCTGTTTGCCTTCGCAGAAGTTGGTAGAAGGGTTTGGTGTTCGCAGAAGTCCTTGCGAGTACCAGCCAATCTGGGCACCCCAATGGCTTTGCCCCTAAATTTGCCGAAGAGAAAGGTACGCAGTGGCACTTGACACTGACATGCCTCTGAGTTTGGTAAAAAAGAGTTTTCTGCTCTCAAGGGTGGGGCAGGGCGGCCGAATCTGAAACATCCACTTTGCCTCACTTGCTGTTGGTGTTTAACTTGGGTTTATTATATTTTACTGAAATCCTAAAGGGCGCCTTCACAATGCAAAATGCCTATATGATTCGGGACGGAGCACGGGCGACGCAAGGGATAGCACACGCATTTTACACAAAAGAGGTTCCCTTGAGATGGAGTTAAGTCAAAGCCGGCCAAACACACCTTGAGCAAAAAGACGGGAGGAATCAAGGAAATATGTTCTTCCTTTGTGCAGGCAACTGAAACGGCACCAGCTGCCTCAAGTGGTTTGTGCTCAGGAAATGCCATATGAAGTCACGCAAGCCGGGGCCTCAACCTTCAGCTGCCAGAGTTGAGTGAAAGTAATAGCAATGGCCTCCAACCTAATAGCGATGGCCTCCAACCTGATAGAGATGGCCTCCATGGCCTCCAACCTAGGATGAAACTGCTTGCAGTGAAACCTCTCTGGATTTCCGCTTGGAGGCCACCTTTGGTGACAAGGGCTACGCCGGGTACCGAGTGTCCAGCTTGGTGACCTCACACGATGCGCAACTTGGACAGAGTCAAAAAAGGTAATTGACATGATGATGTATAACTAATAGTCATGTTGTCCAATGCTTGCAATATGAACTTTAGGGGCAAAATTGCAACTTGTAAGCCGACACCCGCATTGTTTGGGGAGGGTTCGCAAGAAATGACACACAAACTACGGTGCACCTTGACACTAAGCAGGCATGGTGTGGGGATCTATCACTACTTCCGGGATGCGGCTGTGACAGTTCAGTCGGCGATCATCGCGCCGACTGCTTTAGAGCCAAACTTCGTGTCCCCCTTGTCTGTCGCTGGGCGGCAGATGGTTTTTCAAGCCGCGCAAGTATCATGGCATGTCCCAAGCACTTGCTGATCATCCAAGGTGTTTCTCAATGGAAAAGGCACAGTGCTGCATATCCTCAATGCTCCTTGTCACACATATCCTGCAGGTTAGCCCATTGCGTTGGAAGTCCAAAGAGCCAAGGACAAAGGCCAAGCATCTTCAGTGGATCCCAAGGTCGTTGCCCTAGCCATCGGCCACGGTGGGCTTGCACGTCTGGTGCGGTCTGTTCTTGGCATTACCCAATGGTTTGGGCATGCACGGACATGCAGATGCATCCCTGAACCGAATCCAATTTTCAATGCCCTAGCCTGGCTGAGCAGTGTTGTGGCTTCCAATTGCACAATTAACGATTTTTGAAAGGTTTAGATTGGTCATGGACACTGTTGTGTTTGCTGTGCAAGTTATCTCAGCTGCATTGTTGGTTTTCGACATTCTGGATGTTTGTATATAGGATTTGCAGGTGCTCCTGAGTTTCTTGACGCCGCAATGTTATGCCAGATAGACCTGAATGTAAACAAACTTGACCATGTCTCTCTGTTTTAATGCAGCTATATAGTCAAGTAGGCTACTTCATGCGCGGGGCTCATTGTTGACCGACCTCGATCTGGCCCTTGCACTTTTTGAGGCGCCCACCAGTGCTGTGCCAAAGTGGTATTGCAGCCAGAGGGCAGCAATGCCCAGCAATGGCACATGCAAGATGGGCAGCTTGATGTACCAAGTGCATTGTTTTTGTGGTTTAGGCATCTGAACAAAATCCTCATTCCTTGCATCTCATTGCCCCGATGCAGTTTTGTGTCCAAATAGACAGCCTACGCACAGTGCGGCTTTGTTATTGTGCTAGACGTTTTGGGGAAGACCTTGTGTTCCTGCAGAATCCGTTTGATGCTTACGAGCATTTGAGGTGATTCCGTGTTGTGCCCAGGGTCTAGCGTGTTTTGTCAAGGCTGGGGTGCACTTATGCAGCTACTTGCAGACAGCCGCACACACATTTGGCAGCAAGCCGGCCTCGCATTGACAGGAAATGCCTGCTGCCCAGATGGTTCCACCTGTCCATCAGCAACTCCGAATTATCGCTGTGCTCGAGGCATGCTGATCATGAGGGTTTTCGAGACATGAGCATAAGGAGCAGAGCAGGAACGTAGAATGCCTCTTGGCAGTGGGGTATGGACGTTCATTCTCGAAACTCAACTTCTTGGCGGCCAGGCAAGCTGATGGACTGCTTGCAGCCTTCACTGAGCCTGGTGGTTTGATTCCAGAAATTGGTGCATCGAAGTCTCACCAATGTCACCAGAGTGCTGCCCATCCGCCCTCGTCCCAAACTAGGCAGAATTATGAGATGGATCAGGGGTGCCGGGTCATTTGGACCGCAACCCTCCGATGCCGGGGCGGGCCGTTTAAGGCCTGCGGAGATAGGCACTTGCTTCCGACATCAAAAAATACTGCGAGCTAGTCCACGGCTAGTTTATTCAAACATATTCAAACGAATGGCTTTGCTGATTTCAGTGGTTCAATCGGCGCAGCATGCCATTCCCGATCTGTGAACCTGCTGGGCTCAAGGTTTTGCTGTTTAGTTCCAGGCGCAGCGCGCGCAGCGCACGGAGCAGCCTTCCTCAGAGCCTGGAGGTTTGAAAGTGAATCGTAGGCTCAAAGAACAGACGCCTCGAATGAGATTGTTTGTGCCATTTCAATGCACATGTTGATGTCCGCTGACAAGGAAGACAAGGGCATTGATTCATTGATAGCTAGCTTGTCCCAACAGGCTCCGTCAAACACACACACACACACCACCAGAAGGAGCCAACAACCGACAGCAAGATCCACATGGTGGGTGATTTATCATTGTTGACTTAAAACGATGTATATATGGTGATCGACGAACATCGCCATACGGCGCGATCGCTCGATCGTATGCTCGCTCCATGCGCCGAAACGATCGTTGCTGATCCACCGGTGATTGCTGAGGGCCATGGGTCGCTGGGACCACTCGCGTTCACCCCGGTGCCGGGCACAGAGGGTCTAACCTCCGCAGAGGTTGAGGCAGATTTAGCATAGGAAAGGCAACACGATAAACCATGATAGACCTATAACTTGTTTATATACAGTAAAGCATGTTTATCTATACAAGTCGATGCCTTCCACATTTGGAGTAGACACAAATCCTTGCTCGGTTGATGGCTGGTGTGTTGAATGTGAGGCAGGGGCGGCTACAATGGATCTCCAAGACGCTCGCACAGCTAGGGCGCTACAAGCAAAACAGGATTGGGCAGCCATTCAGTGGGCACAGTCACATGCTTGAATATGTTGTAATATAACATACGGACACAAGTGCTGCCAGACCCTACGGGCTTGAAGTGGATGGATCTGGGTGCATCAAGCTCTCCAACCTGATGGAGACCTGGGGCAACTCAAATGGCTTGGGCCCTCAGTTGTACGCAATGTGCGAGACTGATAGCCGTGGCACAGCGACCTGCGAGACGCAATTGAAGGACACCTTAATCACGTGATTTGGAACAATTGCAATATACGCATGCATTGCATATGCATGTTGAGGTTCTTGTATGTCGAGGGAGGCATTGTTCATCGATCAATTTTTTGGGGTCCCACCGATCACCACATTGCTTTGCAAGACACGCTCGAGGCAGCCTGGAAGCCACCTTTCATGATATCATGGTGAGTGTTCATCATTTCAATCTGAATGATGGTCGAAAGGGTTGGATGTCAGTTGGGAGCCCAATGCTGGCACACTTCATCAGCTGCAGCAGCTTCAGCCACAGCAGCCCAGTAGCTTCTGCGGTGCCATCCGGTGCGACGCCCAGCTCAGATTCATTTTGCACGTGGCCCCCATGGCCCCCATGGGGGTTGGGAAGTCACTCCAAGCTTTTATGGTAGCTACTTGTTACTAGTAGTAAGGCCAGGAGCTACTAGTAGCGTGCTTGCTCCTAGTAGCGATGCCCTCTGTTACTAGTAGCTTCTAGCTACTAGTCAAAGTTGTTTTTCAATTTAATGTCCTGAATCGAATGACCTTCAAATGAAATCAATCTCAAGGCATCAATGGAACACTAGCACAACAAAACAAGCAGAAGAGTCTTTGCTTGACATGACAGTGGCTCTTTCTAAAATAGGAAGTGCAATTGCAACAGATGTGCTTTAAGCCCTCATCCCTTGGCAATTTGGCAAAGACAGACCTCATCAACACAGCAAGGAATCATAGATGGTCTTGGCCGGGCCCTATTAACTCCTTGCTGGCCCACAGTGCAGGTACTTGGTGACACTTTGACAGCAGGCTGCAGTGGGCTGTGGGCTCCTCAGAAATCCAAAGCAAGCGCCCTCACTGGTGTTGAGTGTTGAGCTAAATTTGCACGACTTGGACTAAATTGGGCCAGTGGAACATAGACCCGCCACCCAACGATGGAGCTCGGGTTCTCAAAATTGCTCTTGCCGGCCGCATGGAGTCATTTCAAGCAGATTGCTTTGGAGTGTACTCCACTGCATTTGTCAAACCTGGCATGGGCCTTTCAAGAGCTCCGGTGCCAGAACTGGCCCATGATGGAGTTGCTCCGCGATCCCTAGCACTTTTGGTAGACCATGGGACTTTGCTACATCATTCTGCTTTTGGCCAACGCCTTTGCATGCCTTTGCCGTGCCCTTCATGACTTTGCTGCGAGCTTGCCAGGCGTCAAACAGATTCTATGCCTCATCCCGACTCCTGAAAGGGACTATTTTTGACATTGGCTTGCCCTTATTATTTGTCAGTTTCATGTAGTGCGTAGGGAAATCGGGACCCTGTCCCTCCAGACCCCCCAATTGGTTGACTCACTACACTCACTTTATAAGTCAGGCGAATCCTATGGGTCTCTTACCTCAGGCGCCCAATATGTACAGTGAAGGCCGAGGCGTGACACACGTCCACCACGACTCCGCACGCGTTTGCACCAAGGACCTGGCTTGGGCACCACGACTCCGCCGCGGAACGCGCAGAACGCCCTCCAATCACGTGGGTTCGCAGCTGAAAGTACGGCTTGACGCACCAAGGTGTCTCGCAGGACGAGGTTGTGCAGGCTGTAAGTGACAACCTGGTCAACGAGCGCAGCTGGCCTAGGAAAAGCTCGGGCTCGGTTAGAAGATTGGTGGTACATGTGCCGTGCATTGAATTGACTTGATTTCATGTTCATGACCGACTTTGTGCAAGTGTGCTGTCAGTTTCTCCCAAACCCACCACGTCGAGAGGAAATGCGATTGTTTCCAGCAGTTTGTCACGGGCTTCCCACGCTTAAGCCACATACTCTTAGGCACTGGAGGGGCGCGCTTCAAACTGTGCAGCCCTGAGAAATGCAGCGTTTCATAGTGTTTCTGAGAAAAGAGGGAAGCCTCAGGGCTTAGGGACCCAGTCACTTGGCGTGTTGTAGATTGCCATTGCAACTTGTTTGGGCTTGAGGGCATTCCAGGGCATTCCTACGTTCCCAATGTTGGGGGGCGTTTTGGCGATTCTGGAGAACTTCCGGTGCAACTCACTGGTCCACTTAGGTCCCACGAGGGGCGTGCCTGGACCCAAGGAAGCCGCCTTCGGGCTCACAAGGTTTGTCCGAGGTGCATTGTATATATATATATTTAAATACCCCCCCCCAAAAAAAAAACAAAAAATATATATATATATATACATGTACTTCAAAAAAACAGCCAGAGGAATGCTGTGCAGAGACACCGCGACCGTGGTCAGCTCTCAACCTGCGCTTTTCTGAGGAAACAATCATCCAGGTACATCGCGCTGGTGGAGGCAAGAAATGGACAAATGGGGTCAGCCAGTCCAAAGCAGAGATAAAAGGTAGGTCCCAACGACCCCTTTTATTTTCTTGTCCTACCGCCGTGACCACATTTAGATCACAGCAAGGAAAGAAAGTGCAAAAACTGACTGTTATGAATAGCTATGTGGGCCGCCGACGCTTTGTTAAAGCATTTATGTACATAATTATTGTAAGGGCTTCGCCCGGGTGCCGCCGACCCCTTTTCAAGAGGAGTGTAGCAGGTGCAGACAGTTGCAGTGAGCATTCCACGTTTCAGCCGCGAAGCTGGAAAACAGGACAGAATTCCGCCTATGCGCAACGCAATAGATCAATTCAATTGTTCTTATATATAGACTCTGTAGTCAGAAAACTTGGCTCAGGTTTTTGTAATGAGGCATGTATTGTGTAGGGGAAAACGCCTCTGGAACAAAAAAACCCAGATGCAGACGGCGCAAGCCATCCTAGGCAAAAATCGTGACAAGGAATGGGAAAGTACTACTCGGGGATTGGTTTGGCGCCATCTACTTTTACAATCCGTTTCGTGAAAGAACGCCATAAAATTTTTGGCCCTGAAAGCAGCAAGCTGCGCCATCTACTTGGCAGTATCTATTGGCTCAACTATCCTAATCATGTTTCACACAAGTGTTGTGCCATCTACGGGGCTATTATCGTGCAGCGTTCTGTTACTGTTTCAAGTGCAAGTGCAAGGAAAGGGAAAGGTGAAGGGAAAGGCAAGGGAAGGATAGAGAAAGGCATCCAAGGAGAGGGAAAGGAGACATTAAGGAATGGATAGCAAAGGAGAAAGGAAGAGAAGGAGAGAGAGAGAGAGAGATAGAATATGAAAGAAGGAGAGAGAAAGACAGTTCAAAGAGAAGAACATGAAAAACAGTTGGAATTTAACAGAGAGGTTGTCTACAAAAATCAACGACTTATATCAGTGTTCTTTGCAGAAGATGGCGCAAGTCTACTCTGTGAATGGGTGGAATGCCATCTATTATGCTTGAGGATGCATAGGTATATATCTTGTTTTCCACGGTTTGCCGCGTGCGCTTTTGGCACTTTCTGGTGCCATCGATTCGTTTCCGGATATAGCCATCTAGTCTGAACAAGGTGTATATATATCAGTGAAGTAATTATGCACCTATTTCTATATACCCATATAAGGCTTGGGGGACCCTATTCTGACGCATGATGACGCATGTGGGCGTGTATGCGTTAGACCGTTCCCTTTTTGTGGTAGCCTTTTGGCACAAGTAGCCCTCGTCAAACCCACACATGATATTATCACCAAGACATTCATAAGCAACTTGACGTTCCTGGTGAGTGCGTGTTCCTGCCATGTTGCCTGGATGACGGCTCACACGAAGCAGCCGCCCGGAAGATCCTGACCTGTTGGGGGTGGGTTTGGGAGGTTGTCTGAACTGTCCGGGAGGAGCTCTGAGAGTGTGAGTGAAGGCCCAATGTCATCCGGTTGGTGGAGTGAGCTTGAAGCTGTTCTGAAGGTGCTGCCGTTGCGTTCTCGCGGGGCACATAGGCAAGAAGAAGAGAGTGGTTCCTGACGCCCGTTTTGGATGTATGAGTTCAATATCGATGGTGACTGGGGGCAGAAAGGTGGTGGTGTCGTGAGCAGGTCTCAGAACGCCTTTGAGTGAGTGCGCAGTGTCTTTCTAGCTCAACTATCACATGAGCAGTCACAAACCTCACCTCTGTGCACCAGTGGTCCTTAGCATTCACACTCCTTCAATCCCCACTGGACAAGCCAAACCCAGACCCCCGTAGCCTGTCGGGGAGACCGCGTGGAGGTCGGGGGGGGCTGCTCCACCTTTTGGGCCCCGTGGTGGGTGAGGTGGGGCTACGAGTCACCAAGGCTTTCGTCTGCCTTGGGCGGTGACGAGAAGGTGGACTAGGTGGGAATTGGGTGGAGCAGGTGGTTCTGAGCGGTGAGGTTGGGGAACGAGGTCTTTGCTCCGGTGAAGCAAAGCCAGCATTCGAAACGGCCGTGGTTGCACACATCTTTGGAGCTCAATACTATCACAGAGCTCGGTCTGGTGATTTCATGGAGGCACTTGCCAGAATGTTGAGAATTGCTGAAGGTGGGAGACTTCCTTGTCTAGATTTACCTGGTTTGGCTTTTTCATGGAGCTGGGAGGTTGAAGCTCCCATGCCAAAGAGGGGTTTTCTCTATAAATGGTCCAGTAGTGCGTTGACCACAGAACATGCCATTTCTACGGACATTCGGCCCAATGAGTTTCACCATGTTTCACCAAGCAAGATGCATGATATCAGGCGCGTCAGCTCCCGCCATGTGGGCACTATAGCAGAGAGCTGGGGATTCATAAATATGCTAAACAGTCAGAAGTTAATTTCTTAGCTCCTCTCCTCCCATGCAACCCCTTTGGACTGGGATGCCTTAAGTTCATCATCATCATCATCATCGTCATCATCATCACCAGCATCAGCATCAGCATCAGCATCACGTCGTCTACCACGCACCTGGATTCGCGCCCATGCCGTGGCTTCCAGCGCTGACACTGCTGAGCCAGAGGTCCGGAGCAATCCGAGTCCCTTTAATAGTGGTTTCTTGTACTGTATATTGTTGGGCAACTAATGGTTAGTAGTACACCCACTTCCATTTGATTCCTGTTCAGTCCCCCTATGTGCCGCTGTCAGAAGGACACTGTCTCTATATGAACCATGCTGAGCCCAGGTCCATTGTCACATTGCGGTCTGGTGCAATGTGCGATAACAATAGATGCACCGGAGTCCACCGGCAAATCTGAGCACTGCGTGGTGAAGGTATACGGCGTTTTTTTCTTCCTCTTTGGGTTTTCTCCTATCAGGCGACCAAATGCTCCCAGTCAACAGACTGAGAATCACCTCTGTAGGCTTGGTGGGAAACCCGTAGAGGTAGGTCGTGTGGAGATGGATGGGTCTTTCAGCTGCATCTGGGAACATTTGAGTCAGCTCGGCTTAATTAGGTGGAAGATGCCAAGTACACTTCCTTCAACCTGCCTTTCTGCAGGAAAATTGCCGAGAAGCCGATCTTCATGTCCTCCATGGTGCAATGCCCCAGCATCGCAGCCTCCTTGGACTCCGGCTCCTCGTTCCGAAGGTCCCTCCGACGGAGAAACGTTGTGCTGCTTGAAACGTGGTGTGTTGGAGGTGGAGGCGCGAAAAAGCCGGAAGGCGTGCAAAGTGGACGGGGATATATATAAGCACAGACATTGCAAACAGACGATGACTTCGAAAACCAGTCACATGCGCTTGGATATGAGTTGCACCATGGAGGGTCAGTGGACGCACATGCCGCATCATAGGTTTGCATGGTGGAAAGGGGGCACTGCAGTAATTCGATGTAATTAGTTGTTTTTGCTGGCTGAAGATGGTCCAAGATCCACTACCGTAAAAGCATAGAAGGGTAAATTCTTAAATGTCTTGCAAGGCTAGGGTATATATATATATATACATATAAGTTCGGCCACTTGCGTGGAAGCGATGTTTTTGGCGCACGGCCTCCAACGCCTCCATTGACCCCGAAGAATACCAGACCAATCGCCCGACTCGGTCCACACGACCCCCTTGCTGACATGATGAGGTTCTCATCCTCACGGCGAACGACGAGTCCCGCAAGCCACAGATGCCCGAACGGGTCGGGCGACGAGGGTCGCTGGCGGGGAGGGTCCACCGCATGCAAAGCCGCAACAAGAGACGCAAGCCACCCCGACAGCCGCGCAGACGACACTCGCACCGCCGGCAAAGTTGGCTGGACAGACGGCCGCCGAGGAAATCTTCCATTATGCGTGTCCTTTTTGTGAGGTGTCTGTCACCAGCACTGTGCGCACAGGCCAAGTAAATCACCGCCGTGTGTGCGGGAAGTTTTTTCGTGTCAAAGACGGACACGTTGCCGCGAAGAACTTAGTCTATGCGTGTCCATTTTGCAATGGAACTGTGGCAAGTAACGTGAGGACAGGGCAGATAGATCACCGAACCGTGTGCGGCAACCAGTTCTGTGTGAAAGAAGGCACGGTTAGCACGCAGACGCGGCAGCATCCGCACACATGCCCAGCGTGCCAGACTGTGGTCTGGTCATCACAGTTGTTTGGGCGCGTTCGGTGCCAACACAACACGCCAGCGGGAAAACCATGCCCGAAAAACACGTGGCAAGTTCAAGAGCGCAAGCACGAAACAAAGAAATAGAGTATAGACCAATCATCCGGAAGCCACGCAACCACCGGGCAAACGGGAGCCGCGCCAGGCTGTGTTGCAGGACTAGGCCAAAGGTGCCGGGAAGGGTTTGACGGTGCCTGGAGGACCCCAAAGAAACGAGGTGCAGGCCGAGGTGGCAGGTTCCAGAGGTCAGTTCCAAGGCTGCAGTGTACGGTTCCAAAGGGTTTCGCGCTGGGGAGGGTTTGAACGCTGCGGAGGGCAGGCCTGCTGCCGAGAAGAGGGCAACGCTGCGGTGCAGGAGTAGGCCAAAGGCGCTGCCGAGGGTTTGAAGGCGCTGCAGAGGGTTTGAAGGCGCTGGGGAGGGTTTGAAGGCAGTCCAAAATGTCTAACGTCGCTTTTGGAAGCCCAAAAGAAGAGAAGAGGCAAGCCTGCTGCCGAGAAGAGGGCAAGGCTGCGGTGCAGGAGTAGGCCCAAAGGCGCTGCGGAGGGTTTGAAGGCGCTGCGGAGGGTTTGAAGCCGCGGGGGAGGGTTTGAAGGCGGTGCAAAATGCCTAACGTCGCTTTTGGACGCCCATAAGAAGAGAAGAGGCAGGCCTGCGATGCAGGAGTCGGCCAAAGGCGCTGGGGCTGCAGTGCACGGGCTGCACGTTCCAGAGGCTCTCTCCCCAGGCTCCCGGCTGGCGCAGGCAAGGCTGCGATGCAGGAGTAGGCCAAAGGCGCTGGGAAGGGTTTGAAGCCGCGGGGGAGGGTTTGAAGGCGGCGCAAAATGCCTAACGTCGCTTTTGGAAGCCCATAAGAAGAGAAGAGGCAGGTCTGCGATGCAGGAG